AATAAATTGTTAAGATATCTGAAACACTCACTACATTCATATATGTTTTTCCATGGAAGCAAAATCTTTTTCACTAGTTTTTTTTCGAATATACTATTAACTGTCTATCCATGTTGCCTATACAAGCTATAATTATACCAAAAACCCTATAAATATTATTTTAAGCCACTTAAATCATTTGGAAAATATGTTTCTCTTGGAACTGATTTGTCATACTTATTCAGGTAGATAAATTAATCTGAAAGTTGAATTCATGAGTCAATCTAAGCTAGACCACCATTGAAAAGCTAGAGGCACTGGACGGCCGTCTCGCCCAGGTACGATACTCTCCAATAGTGCGCATCCTCGATCCTGCACACGGAAGTCGAGCCCATGATATTCGGTCTCGCGCACGAACACGTAACCTCTAGACCACTGATACGGCATCCAATGGTATTAATGTCTAACTTCAATCGATCCATGATCTTTCGCAACCCTCCATTCATTGTCTGCCTCACACCTGACATGGATTGTATTCCACTGGTCACGACTTCTTACTAGAACACCAAGAAATCCATACTGAAGCTAGTCACTAGTGAGTACATGGTGATCTAGCTTAGATTGACCCGTGAATTCAACCCTGAAAATACTACAATCTTCACAAACATCCATCCTGGTAAAATTGATATTCCTCATGAAAAGTACTTTTCATGATGATAGTTGTTATAACTCTCTCTCTCTTACTGTAATGACCCAGCTATTCCTATTGCTTAGTATTCTTGGACACCGATAAACTCGACAAGTCCCCAAGTCAGAACACGGTTGAACAGGAAGGAGATTATATTCCAAATAACAAGGTTAGATAAAAGCAAGAAGCAAGTCAGAAGCACAATAGGGAAAAACGTCAGTATATTAATAGTTTTTACATGAGAATATTCCAGAATATTCTCCAACTATCGACTAGTGCTGATTGGATAAGAATTAGCCAATCAGCGTGCACCAAAGCAATCATGCATTGAGCATGCTTTAATCTAGTCTATGTCCCGCTAACAATAGTACTTTTTAAAAGTTGTATATGTATATAAGTGTTGATCTTGAACTAACATTTTTTTCCTACCCAGTTTGTTTAGTTTCGTCTCATTCGTCATCCATGGTTCAGTTTTGCGGTTTAATGAAGTAACAACTCAGTCTGTTAGTGTATTAATGAAAGTAAATGAACAAATGAGCTGAGAGTGTTAACTAATCGTTTTTAACAAGCCCATTGTTATGATATTTTGTTCACTTATATATATATATATATATATATATATATATATATATATATATATATATATATATATATATATATATATATATAATTCTGGTGACTGTTTAGCAGGCTGTTCTTCTTTAGGTATTCTTAGTAAAATATTTTCCGATGTCATAAGGAAATAATTATGTCAAAGATAATGTTTAGTCAGAATATTCGAAGTACGTTTGATCCACCTTTCTTTCTGTAAGTCAACTTCTTTCTATTGTAATTCTGCTACTGAATAATGAAGAGTAGTATGGGTATCACTGTCAAGGTTCGATTTGATAGTTTCAATAAATTAAGCATTGGGTGGAAAGTTAATAATAAATATATTTTTGTTTTATCTCAATGAGTAGAAAAGTTTTTCTTATGACATTTAGTGACTTAATGTAAGCCACTTCTTCGGAGTAAATAAATAACCGAATTAAATTCAGATTATTATTGAAGAGTAGTACGTTTAGCTGATTAATAATAATTCCCCAAACCAACGACCACTAACGACTTTTTTTGTTAGGATAACCGAAATTTATTTAGTGACCGTAATCTCCGTTTTTTAAATATATATATAATACGTTTTAATCTCTACACGCTCTTTCTCTACACCCTTTTGTTTACCCTTTCTGTTTGTTTTTTGTTCACATTTAGACATTAGTATCACGTAATAATAGTAAGATGAACTGTTTAATTAATTCATCAGATTTAATGTATCCTATTTATCAAAATGATCCTGTAGGTGATTATGATAGTGATTTGAATGGAAATAATTCTTCCATATCTTCATCACATGGTAGTTCAGATGATGATGAAACTGCAGCCATGGTAACTAGTCCAGATAGTTTAGATTCAAATTCATCTCCTGAAGATTTATTAGTTCATCGACTTTCTGGTCAGTGTCACACTTCATTTGATCTTACAGAATGGGAAGAGTATATAGCACCTAATGTACAAACTGTTATCAGCGATGTGAATTCAAATTTTAGCAGAATAAGTGAAAAAACACAACGTCGTGTATTTGCGCATTTGGAAGAGGTTGTATTCGATGTGAGTAATACTACAACATGATGTAAAATAATAAATCTTTTTCATTGTAACCGAACCCTATATATATTTGAAATTTTTCACTTGGCTTGTTAAATTCAATTATATTTTAATCGTTTGACTAGTTGTATTATAAATAAATGATTCTTATTGATTTTTTATTGTGGAATTCTAACAACCTGGATACATAGACCGCCGAGATCTTTAGGAGAAATTCGTATACAATACAAAATGCGTTAGTTAAATTTAAACACTGATTATTTTGATAGTGTGATCCAGTCCATCAACTAAGAGTTGGATTTGTGAAATAGATATATATCCTTTGCTTTGTCTTTTATTGAATGTGTAATCATCAACTAGTAAAGGCCCTAGTGCATTATTACTTAAGTTGAGTTTTGAAGTTATTAGCTGTTTACTGAGGAAGTAAGGTTGAAAATATTCAAATCAAGTGTAGTTTACTGAGTAAAGGAGTTAATTTGATGAAATACGTACAATGACCGACATGGTTATTGTTATCCGGTTACTTTACAAATTAATGCATAAAAGACTACTTATCTTACTTAGTAACATGAAAATAACTTTTATGAGAAATTAAAATGTCAATACAAATGTGACTTGTTATTGAAGTAGTTTAAATTAAGCTTATTACAACTTATTTTACTAGTGTTATTTTTTTATTTATAGATTCCACTTAATAGGATGCTTCATGAAAAAAAATGTACACATAACAGTTCTTCTCCAATACTTGCTCCTTTCTTCCCTCCTGACGAACCTGATTTACTACTTGTTTACTATATCAAAAATAATCTTGATTCGAATTTATACGAAACATCTGAAGAGTTTAATGCAGTAAATCTTATTGAAATTATAGATGTAACTACTGGATATCGAATTCCCATACCATCGATAAATCAATCATCCTGTGAGCATACATGTTCAACTGGATTTAGTTCTTCTGTTCTCAATAAGCTTACATCTTGTTGTCCTCAAAACTACAAAGTTTCATCATCTCATTACAGAAAAAAATTGGTTCATGAACTAAATAATTGTCTTATGGCTGGGCGATTAGAAAGTCTGAAATTGTTAGTCGATCCGCAAGGTGGCTATTCTGTATATTGGTAGATTGTACAGAATTTTTTGTTACAAACTCTCTAACTAGATCAATGTATCATCTGTTTTCTTTTTTCTTTACACTTTTTACTACAAAATAAAATAGAATTCTGCTACTTGGATTTTTATTTCGTTTGTTCGTTGTATGTTTGTGTTTACATGTATAAGTGTATTTTTATGCACAATGTTAGTTTCTTAGATGAAAAAAATCAGTTCCTAATGTTAGCCATGTTTTCTGGTCGTATATGATGCTTCTCTCAGCTCAGCTTTAATTATTAGAATTTTCCATTTATCTTAGTCAATATTTTGAGTAAAACTGGGACGAAATATCTGGGTTATATGAATATTCCGTGCTATCCTGGTCTTACGCTCCTACTTTGTGGTATGCTGAGGGGTCTAATTAGTTCATGGAAGATGAGTCATTCTCAAAGCTGTACATTTCTAATATATGCCACTCTTGATTTTTAGTTCAATTTTGGTGCCTTTAGTGAAAAAAGGGATCAATAGCAGAATTTCAATCTAATCAAATGGTAATATAGATGTATAGCGATATATATATATATATATATATATATATATATATATATATATATATATATATATATATAATATCTAAACTTAAAAATAATCACCACTTACTTAAAGTTTACACAATAATCACAAAGAAATCTCATGCACTGTTACATTGCTTAGTAGTTAACCATATATACTATAAATAAAATCAACGTAAACCTCTTTTCGTGATCTATATTTAACAGCTTTATAATAAAATGAAATTTAAGCACTAAGCAAAACTCTAGGGAACAGTGTGAGCCGATCGAAACTGCTATACATATAAAACGCGTTGTATTGCTGTATTTGTGGCCCCACTTCTCACCAATCTAGTGTCCATTTCAATATTTATAATAGTTCCTAGGTTGGTATATTCTCTACCTTATAAATCAGCATGAGTTATACTAATAATACCATGTCTTCAGTATTTCTGATACATTCTGTTACACGTCTCTGCAAAACTTCTATCTCTTCGAGTCCTTGAAATTATTCAAACCTCTTTAGCATACTAGTAGTCTAATATAAATGTATGCTATAATACCTGTACAGAGTCTGTTCGGCCTGTTCAGTTCTCAAAAGAATTATTCACTTTTATATTCGTTTATCGTCTATCATAAATGAGTTACTCTTAAACCGAACAAATATATTATATCTGCGGAAAGCACAAACATATGTTAGCATTCTAAATCTTGTGAAGTTTGTGGTAAATTTATTGATCATTCGTTTCAGTGAGATAAAAATTCCACTTTGAGCATAATAAGGGTTGATTTAGTGAAAATAGTATGTAGCCCTTCATTAATCTACACGAACACCCAAGTTTTACAATAATTAATAAAATAAATATCACTCAAAGTGTGCTAGTGGTGAGTTTACTAACCATCAAAATAAATTTCATCTCAAGAATTAGGGTGAAAAAACAACCTGGTAGAGTACAAATGTTTTATGATGTAAATTGGTCCTTTTTCAGTAGATTGATCACAAAATACATAGAATCCAACAGTAGTATTCAGTGGTTAAATATTAACAGTAAGCCAAAGAGACAAAAGTTCTGGCAGAAATAGGGAAAACAGATCATTTTTGCATCGTCCCAGTCCATTGGATATAGTTGTTAAATCAAAAAGTCATGGTATGTTGTTGGCCAAAACAATGAGATTCTGCACCTATGTTTGGGTAAAACATCACTTTATCAAGTTGAATACCAACAACTCTATGGTTAGTAAATGTTTCAGGAAACTACAACAAGCTGACTTGTGCGATAAGCAAGTCTTAAGTGCTTCCTGTAAGTTCTTTCGATATTCAGTTTTATTGAGTGGATATCAGGAAAAAATACCCTAATATCCTTTGTTCAGTCATAGTGTAAGCCTTTCCAGTATCCGGAAATGGATTTGCCAAATTGTGTTCATTGCACCTGGTCTTGCAAGTATATTTAAGCTTGAAAGTGAACATTGGGAAGGAGAATAAAAAATACAGGGTTATTTTCATAAGTGCTTATACGATGTCTCTAATGATATCGCAGTAGTTTTGTAAACACTTGTCACATTAGGCTATATATATTAACATATTTTGGATTTAAGGCATATGTATCCGTGTAGAGCTATGATAAAGGGACAGTTAGTAAGATAATCTCTTGCTGATTTCTGGTTGTTCTATTTAATTTCTTTTTCCTGTCATCAGGTTTATTGTGTTTTAGATAATTATGATTAATATTTAGCGACTATCTGGATGTTATAGATCATCCGGTTATTCCAACGTTTCATTCATCCAGAGTAATTACTAATTAACATCTTGTTTGGACCAAGGAAATTCTAATTCATTCAGCAAATCTCGTTGTAACATCAATCATGCCATTATCAATTCATAGTCACTATATTACTGAGGAACAAGGGACCTTCAAGTATAATCATAATCAAATGTCATGAACCTTGTTTCGACTTTAACTTGAATTATCAATAAATTAACGATTTATATGTGGCCACTTTTTTGTAATTGAAAGGTAAACTATGTACTCCCATTTTTAATCGTGATATCAATCAATTGATCTGTAATGCCATTCCATTCAATACAGAGTGCATCTGTCACCTAACTGAATTTATTCAAGGGATGGTTTCCACAAGGATAACTTATTGTTTAGTCAAGTAAACGAGTACTTTTTGAAAAGTTTTCTGTACTATGATGAAAAAACGTTCATTTTCTTATTATCTATTAAGCACGTTATCTTGATACCTATACATTGAGCATTAAACAGTCATATGATTACAAAAATCATAAAAACTACCACTGCTAATAATGATACTATGAATTATAAAATTGTCCAGGTCATACTTGTTCAAATTTTCGATTTTATCAAGATCTGTATTTTTTTTGCTTTCCACTTTTAGGTTTGATTGGGGAGACACGCATTTAATCAGTCCCTTTCATCGAATGGTTATTCATTATGAATGAAATTAATTTTTTTGATCCGTTGGAAGGTAATATATACTAATAAATAAATAAATTAAACATTTTTCTGTTTTCATGTAGGTAATGATACATTACCATTATATTGTGTCTGTTGTCTTGATTATGGTTTTCTACCTACTATATTATTACATAGTCTTCCTGTGAAGGTGCAACGTTTGATTGTAAATCGTTTAGCTCACACAAACCTACCACAATTCATTCTAGCAACTCATAAAGGAGGTCATTGGTCGTTGGTCCAATTACATTATATCAGTCATAATATTAATGACAATAATAATAATAATAATAATAATAATAATAATAATAATAATTCACAAACAATTCCGTCAAATTCTACTCCATCTCTGAATGAATCTCATATGGCTAATTGTCTGGATAGTTTGAACCAGCTAAAGGATGTTGATTCAGAGTAAGTGTGAATTCTGTAATATTTTTAGTGTTATTATTTCTGTTTGGATCATAAGCAAAAATTTAATAAATTTCATGATAGACTTTAAAATAGTGTGTACGATATTAGGGATTATTGTGACTTCCTTGATTCAGTACTCATTAATTTTATTATCGTGTCTTACAGTAATCAGTCCATTGTTTATTGTCACACTTTTATTTTTTGAGTATTTGTGAAGTTAAAATTTCTAGTTTTTATCAAAAAACCATTGTTTGCAGCCATATAAGCATAATAATTTGACGTTTAGTTTATTCCCTAACAGCCGCTCTTCTTCTAATCAATATTGTTGTATCGCGAATGTAGCTTCAATAATTGACCTTTTGTTGAATAATAGGTGTTAGATGCTAATAGAATCCAGTAACCATGTTTAAGTTTTTGTATACTAAGTGTTTGGTTGCACTAGCTGCATAAGTTGGGTATATTGTCCAAATGTCTAAGTACAAGCTGTTATATCAAGCCTAGTTTAAACATATAATCCAGTGATTGAAACCCCTCGACATAATGATCAAAGACAACGTGTTCCTGTTATGTTTTGATGTTGGTAAAATGTAGTGTTTTTTAATCATCCTAAGCAAAAATCTAATCGGTCGTCAAGATAAGTCTCATATTTATTGAACATGAAATGCTATTCAAAGAGTTGTTCACATCAGGACATAGCTTAACTATTCAGATAGTATTCGGTCATTAGATTGATTGTTGACTTTTATTTTAATATCTTGACTGTATTAGGGTAATCGTAAACGAAATTGGTTTTTAAAATTTTTTCTAACCTTTAGCAAACTATCTTTCCAAAACAATAATAACCTTGAATAAAGGTACAATATGCTACCGACTGGTACACTCCACTGTACTTTGCGACTGGAGCTTTGCGGATAAAAGTGACTGGTATGGGAATGTTGCATGACCTTTGTAGTTGAAGCATCACACCCCCGTGTAAGTATCACCGAGTGCTCTGTACTGACGTTTAGTGTAAGATTTTAGGTATGATGAAGTTGTTAGTCTACTTACGCACTACACTCCCAGCATCTTACTCGTTGCTCGGTGAAGTACTAGAAAAAAATCTACCTCTCAGAGGTTAGACTAAAATAAGCTTCCAGTTTATTAACTTACAGACTCCTAGATTAAAAAATTACAAATAGTTCTTGGTTTACTTTTCAATATCAAAGCGGCATATTGATTCACTTGTTAAATAATTTGTCTTCCAGTTCAAAATCGATGTCAGTAGAAAGGTACATTTATTTCTAATTCTTCTATAAGCTCTTGAAATCTCATTGTTGTATACAGTTTTATTCAATAGTTTAGTCAATATTATTTTAGTAAATCTGTTTCTGGAAGTATTTTTATAGTGTCTTCACTGCAAAGTGTTGTTTTTAAAATTTTGTCGATGCATTTATTATACTTCACTGTTAGATCACCTGTGTGCACAAATTGTGTATCATCAATTGAATTCAACCTAGATCCATATACTACTGCGTATTTTTCCGATTCTTATGTGAAATTCATGTTGACAACCAAAACATCAGACAAAAATTGGCACTGTCCATTTTGTAAAGCCAGCTACAGTCTTAGTAAGTTGTTATTAATAAAAGAGAAATTAAAACATTAGTAATTAAATTGAATAAGCATCCCGTTATTGTTTCGTTTCAATAAGATATATACATGTATTACAATAATTTTAGCTTACTATACAATAAAATCGATGCTATTATAAGTTTTCATCATATCTGTATTAATTCATTTTTCTGAGGACAGATCGCTGAGGTACAATCGAACATGCAAACTTTTCTAATAGATCATTTGAACGACCAAATTAATCAACTTCTGTTAGCTGTTAAATATGTTATGACACTCGGAGTTTCCTCGTCTTTATGAATCGGACGTTAATTTGCCTTAGACGAATATCTACAGCAGATTCCTTCCCAGTGTCTATTCTACAGGACCTCAACACAACACGTGATTAGTCTGACTAGAACGTAAATATATTTGCACATCAAAAACCGGCAACAATCCGACACAATCCAACAACAACCAATAATAATAAGAATAGCAGAGTATATAACTTTTCTAACGCCTGTCAGATTATCTACAAGTCTGACTAAGCAAACTACCAATCATTATCATTCTCGTCCACACATCAAAATCCTGTGTACTGTAGTTCATAGATTGCCCTCAAACGCCCTGGTACGACCGAGAGTGGGGTGAATCTGCTCTCCCTCTCAAAATGCTCTCAAGTGGCCACGTGCATGCAACCACTGGCACGGAAGTCCTACTCACTGCCTTCTCGTGGCGGGGGTGTTGTTTACGAAATTGAGAGGACGGAAAGCGAGTATCCGGTGCTTTAACCGGGTCGGTGGTTACGGAGAATCCACCTAGGGGAGTTGGCAAACACTTATTCCAAACCAGTGGTGCAAATGGGCTCTAGGATCCTAAGGAAACAAATGGCGTATGAATCTACTGTTGGTCACCGGCTACCATGGGATTGTATGTCCTGATTTTGTTCCACTGCCTTGTGGATTAGACCTTTAGGTCAAAGGCTCCGGGTGTGACCCCTTAAGTCAACCATCTGCTCCGGTCTGGGCACCCGGGCAGTATCTTAGCCCTCACATAAATCGAATGATTTATGCGGCGCATAACTGTTTGGTGCCTCCTTGTACCAATGTTTATGTGTTTAAATAAGTAAATAAAAATTCAGAAACATTGAAATTCAATAAAAACATACTTCTATTTAATGTCACTATTTGAATGTATCTATACTAGTTTCTTAATAGGAACTTAAATATTCACTAACATTTGAGTAGATCAAAATAAAATCTAACCTTACCAAATCAAGTTGCACATATCGCAAGTTGAACTTTGATAATTTTAATGAAAATTATTGTTATCACTTTATTCCAGTATTACGCGTAAATGATATGAGGAAGAAATCTACATTTTTAAGTGTCTTTTCAAAAACATTTGTTTCTAGCCGTTTGAACTGTTGTCACAATCAGTGCTGTAGAATGTTCTTTCAAATGAGGTATATATTTATAATATTCAGTCTATTAATTTTATTTACACCCTTGCTTATACTATACGAATATGTCTTCAATATAACTTCCAACCTAACTCTTTCATGTAAGTAATTTAAACCCATTATGTAATTATGATTTTAAATATCACAGGTTGTAAGCAGCCGACGAGGACCTACGAAATAAAAATGAATTCACGCTATTCTGCTAGAATCCTTGCTCTTGCTCTTTTCAAAATGATAAAGGGAACTGTGTATGAAAAATATTTGTATCAATTACTAGATTTAATCATGAAACTAATTTTTGTAAAGTTTGTTTTGACCAATCACTGTCCGATCTTAGAAAATCACTGAAAATTTAAAAGCATTCGACGTCTATTTCATCCTAATATTCGACTATTCAGCAATGCACATCAATGACCCCACCAGGGATCAGCCGCAAAACCTTTAGATTCCAATGCAGTTTTATACTATGACTGTTGTGTGGGCGAGGGAAATAAGTGATTGGTTGTTTTCCTAGACAGACTGGTAGATAGTTTGACAGGTATTTGATGTGTCAATTATATTTCCATACCCTTGTACCTACTCGATTGTCGGATGTTGATTGTTGGCTGACACACTTACTGGTCAGGTGAATCAACTGTTCTTGATTTGAGTTGTGTTGATGCCTGGTAGAACAGTACTAACTGGGTATCGAGCATAGGGCGCGTGAATCGCAAAGGCAGATCAGTCGTTCTTTGCTCGTGCTAAGCGAATTAATGTCCCATTTGTGTGTAGAAGAAAAACGACCGTTTTTTCACTGGTTGTCTAACTAAAATCAGTTTGTTGTGTGAACTTTGAAATTTATCAATCTTCAAACCTCCCCCTGTGGTAATCAGACACTCATTGAAATACTAGGAACAAGTAGTGTTTATTAATGAGTTTTTTTACTGTTCACGACTTAGAATTTTTAATACAATATTGTTATATCTCTATTTATTTCATTTAATAAAACTCTAGTTAGCAGTGATCGAGTGAATATTTTAGAACGACATTTACGCTTACATGCGGAAATTCGTTGTTGTGTAGATTGTGTAACCATATTACCGAATAACACATCTTCACTTAATTGTGAATCAGCATGTATACATGATTGTGATGAATTAGTTAGTTCTCAAATCAAAGACGATTATCAACAATATCAATATGCTAACAGCAATTCCACGGACTTGCCTCACAAGACAGTGAATTTACCTGCACCTGGTAAGTGCACATACTTTTCCTTTAGCTTTTCTTACACATTACTTATAAAATTTATTGTTAAGTAGCTTTAAAATAGTCATTTTCAATCAGATATTAAATGGAATGGAAACGATATTTTATTTCGCATTTGAGTTATATCTCTTTGATCTAACAGGACTTCTTATAATCCCTCTATTTATTAAGATTATATTGGAAATTATTACAAGCAGAGATATGTGATCTTGAAGTACACCGAACAACTAGTTCGCCTCTAAAGTCGAAGGACAAAGAGTAATCTATTATTATTCTGTTCACTCACGAATATGGACAAATTATAAGCACGTCAATGGTGCTTTCCACATAGATTGTCTCTTTCCCAGTCATGTTGGTTTCGTGGGCTGCTGGTGAATGAGCAGTTAATATCAGCACATATTATGGAACGGATCTCAGTAATTCAAATAAGCACAAATAAACATTCTTCATAAGTAAAATGCTTTGAGAATATTGAACATATTTTTTGAAAACTACTGGTTTCTTTTGAAATTTATTGTAGCTCAAACTGCATTTATAAATTTACTAACAGATATTTTTTTGTAATTATTATTTTGGGGATTCCCTACTGTACCAAATATATTGTAATGAACTGGGCAATTATTAGTATAATATGTTATGTATATCATGAAATATAGGAAAGATATCTAACGTACAGTCTAAAAATTTAAAGCAACTGCATCATTTATCTAACATGATTTTGTTTCTGAGCTGAATTCTGGAAAACCAGTTTAGGATTCTGTCATATTTGGGAGTGCGGATAAAACTTGATATTTTGAAAGTTAAGAAATCATAGTCGAAGTGGAACATCTCTGTGTACAATTTAACGAAACATGACCTTGGAACACAGGGAATTAAACCTACTAATAGTCGTAAAAACCAATCAGAAGTAGTAAAGACTGTAGGGAGATATGAATTATGAAAAGTGTTGCTTAAGTCCCGTTACCAAAAAAATTCACATTTATTAACAAAACTTAGACGATTTGATAATCCTATTTTATTAGTCTAACTACTTGACAAAGAAGCACTTGAAACTTGTGAAAGCCCTCTACTCGAACACTGTTGGCCTTGAGCAATAATATAAACACATGTGGACGCGTTTCTATCCCTTCAACTACAAAATATAGCTTCAGGACCAGACTGTATCAACGTTAAATCTGAAGTAGCGCGTCAATCACTTCACTTATCTTGGAATCTAGTCAGCCATGAGGGATGGGTGTTTGACAAAATCTCAGCACGGATTTAGAAGGCTTGTTTGGTTTTTGCCAATTTGCGCCACTGGTCGCGTAGGTGAGATGTTCGTTTGTCAAACAAAAAGCCCATATACTGTGTATCAGTCAGGTCTGTCTTACTATACAGCCGTAAAATTTGGGCTTTGAAAGTAAAAGACATTCGTAGTTCGCAGAATTTCGATCGTCGGTGTCTTCGAGGCATTGTTTGCTTATTGTGAAACAATTGAGTGAGTAATATTAAGGTTCGGCACAGGGTACTTGTCAGAGATGGGAAGTCGAGTAATAATGTAAATTTTAATCGACCGAAGTCCAAGTTGTGGCGTATGTCTATGAAGTCAGTGAAGCATATTAACAGATACAGACTACATGTTTGGTGTCTTCGTCGTAATGGTGAACACTGGTTGCAGATTTTGACATGGTTTAGTACCGTTCATAATGGGATAGGTGCATTTACTCTTTGTCTTCCTCTAGAACTTGAATTCTTTTTTCAATACAATTTCTTCTGTTCTTTAAACGATGTTCTCAATGTTTGGTTTTTTATTATAATTAATACCACATTATCTTGGCTTCTGTTGCATTTTATCGTGTTATGTTCACGTCATCATGCGAATTTAGTATAGTTACATGGGTCAGACACATGTGCCAGGCTCTACGTTAATAAGTCTAATTAGTCATCTTTTATGCTGATCAATTCGAACTTTAGAAAGTCATCCTATAGATAAACCTTTATGAAAGACTAAAGAAGCGGCTTTATAGCAAAACAATTTAATCCATTTCATTCAGTGAATATGTTAATCAGATTGACTTGACATTAGCTATCATCCCTATACAAATGATAATTACAAATTTATCCCGTTTTAACAGTAACTTTAACGAGAACACAAATAATTTGTGTGATGTCTAATCTTCAATTTTACTTAAATATTGTTGTGTTAATTTCAGTTGATTATAAATGTTTAGCTGTTAGATAAAAGTATTCTCTTCTTACGTTCTCTATTTCTTTCTAACATAAGAGATAAATAAAAGTTCTTAACTTACATATAAGGTTATGAGTGAGTATAAAGAAATGTTTGATGAGCTTGTTAATTTTTCCCTTTAGAAAGTGATTATAGTACTAATTAATATTCGTTGGTCTTTAAATTTTATCTACGCTTGATATTCCTACTTGTTGATTGTGTCTAAGAAAACCGTTCATTACATTGCGAGTGATGGTGATTTTCTTTTATTAATGTCTTCCAAAATTTCGCTTTTCTACATAAAACTAATGTAAATTACCCTACAAAAACAATTATTTTTTATTCAAATTATATTTGTATAGATGATTGTAATGATCAACCAGAAAATAATGATATATTTCCCACATTTCACCGTGATAATAGTCAAATTCAACTTCGAAAATGTGATGTACCTCTGAACTCGATTGCTAAAACTTCGTGTACATATTTTAGTGCCGGGAATTGGCGACGAATTTGTACAGTATGTTTGATTAGTTTTGATTGTTTACATAATTTTTTAAAACGATATTTCTTCAGGATATTTCTATATTTTACCTAATAATGTATGATGTGACAATTTTTCAATAAATTTTTTATTTCTGAATCTTACATTCCGCATTCTGTACTTTTTGTTGTGTCACTCTTTTAGACCCGTAAGTTACGTTTTCCCTATAACGTAACTCGTGTATTCTCGAGCTGATATTTATTGTATTACTGGTCTAGTAATCCATCAGCTTATCTGTTGAATCTAATCACTAATCCCATCTTTTGAACTATTGATTCTTTCGAGGTACTTTTATGTCAGTGAATGAAAACCGCCTTATTATATTCCATTACAATAACGTTTTGGTTTAACGTTTAATTTCTAAACAAGTCTAGACACATGATTTTTTAAATATTGTGGTCTTAATTATAAACGATATATTATGTATCATCATAAAAGCCTGAAGCAAAACTTACACTACATTTATCAGAAATTAGATGACCTATAATAACACAACTCTTCAAATAACGAGATTCGATTTATCCTTTCGTCTAAAAGTTTATCCCCTTGTACTTTTTTCTGAAAAGGTATTGCAACACTAGTGGTTGGATTATTGTCGCGTTTGGTCGTACGTTTACCTGAATTACTCAAATCACTTTAACTAAGTATTATTATTTTATGCATTATTTAATTACTTCTGTTTAATTATTGATTTGTAGAAGTGTAAAGTCGGCTTCAAAACACCGGCACACTATCAACAACATTTAAAAAATGTTCATCGAGGTAAAAAGTTTCTTTGTCAAGATTGTGGTAAGTTAAAATTTATTATGAAATGGGTAAAAGCTCTTGAATTGATTATTCTTACATGACAATTTGTGAAATTCTCTGGGTTTACACTTATATTTTAAGCATGAATTATAACGAGTATTTTATTTATTCGTTAATTTCAACATTGAATAGCATCATTTATGATGAAATATTTATACTACAGTATAATTTACTTAACAATTACAAGTTTACGTATTCGGCTTGCAGCCACACTGTTTTTGTAAGACCTAGTGATTCTAAGTATCCAAATTGAACTAGGTGTATTGGGGTTTTGAACCTGTTAGTTGTTTAAAGCTCAGTATTTTAACCACTAACCCATCATTATCATTATTATTCTCCAACTAATTAGTATCCAGAAATATTTTTTATCTCAGGATAGTTTTCATTATAGACAAATTGAATAGGACTTTCTTTTCACGATACCATCTGCTTAACAGTTGTTTGGGTATTCTACCAACTTTCCATATGTTACTATTTTTATTCATAATTTTCTACAGTTTTCTTTTAATATGTCACTACATTTCTCATATTAGTAACTGATACAAACCAATAATCGAATAAAGATTGCTTTACTCCTCGTTTTGTATTGTAGGCTAGTGATTGCTATCCCCATTTACAAATATACGTAGACAAAACAATGTTGAACTTAAAACTCAACGATTGAAAATCAGTTGATGATAAAGGGACAGCTTAAAGTTTTCCAACCAAAAATGATTTCTATAAGAATAGAATTATGAGACAATGCCCCTTACGATTTATTGTAGTATCATTTGACTACATATGTCACACTATCAATCTGAAGTATATATTTCAATCACCACGGTTTACTCATATTATTGTGGTGAAATTGTTTTGTAATAATTACGGTTGAATAACTTATTTGTTTATCATGTGGTGAACTATATCGGTTTACTTGATTTTCAGGTGTTTTTTTCAGTACGAAAGGGAATCTAACGACACATTTTAACCAAATTCATAATCAAAATACCAGTTTACCGTGCCCTATCTGTGAGAAATATCTTAGTAATAGGTAATTTCGCGTGTCTGTTGTTTTTATTTCATCTATAATACTTCAAGGCAGCAGGAATAAAATTTTTGGTCTCTCCCTCAGGCTGTCATCAAGTTTTTAACTACTTGGTAAAAAATAAAATAAAATCTATACTATTAGAATTATGCTTATAAAAATGATTGAATTTTATGGTATTACCAAATACTTAAAGTTATAAATGGAAACCGCTTAATCTTGATTCAGTGATCTGAAGGTTAAGCACTCGTTTGAAGAACTGAAGATCCCGGGTTCGATCTCGGTGGGATTCGGGACACATCCTTGAGGAGTCCCGTATGAGTACGAAAGATCTGTCCAATACTTTCTGGTTTCCAACAGCTATCCAAACAATCTCAATACGTGATGTAAACTCTAGCATTCAAATTGTTTGAAAGACTTTCTTTTATTGTGTATATTATCTATTACACTCAATTATGCTATTTCTGTGGATTGGCTTTTACTGCCATATCCAACTTAGTAGGTAATCATATTTTCTTAAAAATACTTTACATTTTTTTGTTACAAAATATAGTTTTAAATTTTGGTTACCATGCTTTTTTATCCCAAAGTGATAAATATAATGATCGATACACAATAATGTAATACGGCAAATTGGCAACCCTTTGTGATGTCGAATGAACGACCTGAACTCTTTAATAGATTAATGTCAAAAGGCAATATGGGTAGTTAACAGAACAGTATTTTTACTCGAGGAAAAGAGCATACTTATATGCAAAATAGAAAATTTATGAAAGATGAAGCAATTCAATAAACGTCAGTGATAGTCCTTTAAAGCATATATGACTAGAAAATATGAATATTATAGATTACTCACGAATGAAATTAACAACCTTGTTATATCTCGATATTCGACTACGATTTAGTTTGGTTTTCTTTACGGCAGTTCGTGAATTACTAATGGTCGAGATTATTCTAATGCGAATGGAATCAATTGTAAACTTGAGATAGTAACAACTGATACACAACTATTCAGCATAATCCTCAACTGTAAAACCTGAAAGAAAGGCAGCAGTGTAGAAGAAACTTAATATTCGACGACGATAAGATCAATGTGGAACGACCTTGTCTATGTAATAACCCAATATGACCTCAAACATAAGAACGTGAGTAAAAAATTGGTAACAACCAACCAAAAAGTGGTGTAGGTTATATGTGAATAACGATTTTAAAAATGATGATCAGTTTTGTTGTTACCAGAACAAAAACTTATTCACAAAATTAGATAATCCTAGATCTTACTGAATCTATTTAATATAGAATGATTTTTAATAAGCACCAATGCTTATTATTTTTAGAAATAATAATAAATAAACTTATTTATTCCAAGCAAAACTTTTTGTAGTGTGGTACTTGATCATTTCATTGAAAAGATTAATACCTGTTTTAAAACAAATGGTCTTCTAGAATTTTCATGCAATTGATTAATCAATTCATTTGTCAAGGCTATTTGGATCTTTTTGTTCATGTTAAAGATTTTAATTGACCAGTCTCTTTTGGCACAAGTGCACTTTGTACGGAATACTTCGTTATCGCTATTAAATCCAAAGGTGAATATCAACTTTGAGCTTTAGGCGCATTCAGCAAAAAGCGCGTCATGGATTCTACTGTTTACCACTAACCATCTCTGCTTAAAACTGGTTATTGAGTTAAAAGGATTACTAACTGAGGTTCTTCGCGGTACAAGTTCTATTTATTCACTTATAGCACGAAAGATGCAACTGACATTGAGGACTATACTATATGCAATGAAATTATATTTGTCCTGATTCGCAAAGTGTCCGCTGATAATTGATTCCTCTAGAATTTTTTGTAGCTTCAGCACTACTGTTGAACCTAAAACTTTAAAATTTCGGTTAAGTTGGATTCACGGATTATCTGCATTATACTTTCTATATAAAATAACAAACTTTTCATATTAAAAATCCAGTTGTGAGCTATCTATTTCTTATCATTACGTAAATGCATAATATTTTTTGTTTAATTAGGTTTAATTTAGATCGGCATATACGTTCAGTTCATTCAGATTATGAGATGTCCTCAAATTCATCTTTAAAAGTAAATAGTATTCCAGTGTCTAATACTAATGAAGGTGCACATTTAACTAACTCTGTTACTGTTGAAAATCCGAATGAACCTCCGCGTGGATATTATCTTTATTTATCTGATTCTGATTGTCAACAATCAATCAGCACAAATTCACCAACATCATATATAAATTCAAGTGGAAATACACAATCTGTATTGCAATTAATTTCTCCGACAGTCGATTCAAAATCTGTCTCATTAGTAGCAGATATTAGCCTAACACCATGTGGTCCATCAAATCCAGATGCCCAACTTGGCGTTGGCGGTAAATTGTGGAAGCAAAATATAAATATTGTACAGTCTCCAAAATCTACTATTTCTAAAAGTTTCCATCTATGTTAGATAACATTATTTGATGGTTGCCGTTTTTGCCTTTTCGTTGTTGTTAGACTTTTAAATCTACACTTTCTTTTTGTTCTAAAAAGGGAATATTAAAGTACTCTACGACACTTATTTATACGTAAATCAAACCCGTCTAATTATCACTGTACAAAGTAAGGAAACGTAACTAGCTTTTACTTGAAACATTGACAGTTAATAAGTATTTCTACAATGTAAAATCCACTTGTATTATGTAACTGAAGATTTTCATTATAAAAAAAGTTACAGTTGATTGATTGGGAATTGGATTTATTTGTAATCCGTAGTAAAATAATCAGGGATATTCGTTTCTGTCATATCAGTTTCCATTTTACTAATTATTATTTAAGCATCAGGTATAAGCACTCAATATTTAAGTTGAAACCTGATTGGCATTCATAGCTACTAAATGTTAAACGTAAGCATTTTTAAGCTAAAATTATCTAATTCTTTACAACACCAAAACAGCTTTCTCACTAAACAACATAACTCCTAAAAGCCCTAAATAAATATATATTCATGTGAATTCAAAACATACATACTATTGGAATATGAGCTTCATTATGTAGCTGACAGTGTTCCGTATTTTCTTGTTATACCGAAAAGCCGAATATCGTGTGATAGCTGTCATTAAATTCTAAAAACTCATTAGAATCATGCTAAATGTCATTAGTTTCTTGTATTTTCAATCGGAAAGCAGCTATTTTTGTTGTCTACAAAATCTAGTCATTTTAGTTAGGAATAGTGCGTGACGGCTGTGCAGTATTGGAAATCAAAAAAAATCTTTTGGTTATCAAGTATTTGTCATATAAAAGTCGTTCGAATCAACTGATCTGGAATATAAACCCTAGTTATTGTCATAAATTAAGATTTTATGAGCGAATCCTCGTTGAAAGAAAAGTGATGATCGGTAGATAATATGCAATGATGCAGTGCGGCTGTGTGATGACTGATTACGAGGATAAATCTCAGAAGTTAAGAAAACTATCTTTTGAAGTTGGTTTTCCTGATAAAATAACATGTTTATACATTTAGTAACAGAAAAATAATTGTCATAAGCAACTGGAGACCACCACCTTGGTATGTCGTTTCTAATAACAGATTAAGACCATCGTCGTCATGTTACCATCCCTATGAAATGACAGGTGATTTATTGAGATTTACTTCGAGGCTATTTCATTTTACGAGGTTGACAGTTGATGATAATACTGAAAATGTATATTACCTGTTGATGTTAATATTACAGAAACTGTCAGACTACAATAAAGGATGTTATTAAGTCGTGTATCAGTTCAATTTCTTACTCAATCCAAAGAAAAAGTATCCGCGAATTGTGAAAAATATGAAATTGAACAAAACTCAACCAAGTGGAAAGGTGCAAACAAGAAATTTGAACATTCAACTTACTGAGACAGCGTTATAACTAAGTGTTGGTTTTAAACCTCAAAAATACTCACATAACGAGGGATTTTCTATGAGTTCTGACTCATAATATCTGTCAATTACAGTAGTTACTCTCATTTTTTATAAAATACCCACAACCTATCGCTATATGAAATATTCTGGTACTCAGATGAAGGGATCACATTATTTAATAGATTCACTTTCATTCTATCTTTGGAGGAACGAGGTATATTTTACATCAAGTGAAGTACAAATGCATCATAATGCTCTTCATGAAGTAATATTATATATACAGTGAAACTGCAAGAATATTAAGAGCTGAATAAACCTTTGATGCTGAAAATATTTATTTTACACTGTACAGATCATAATCCAAATAATATAGATGTACTAATACACAATACATGTTCGTGGTATTATTTATTGTGTGCAAACATAATGATATGGCTTTTGAAGATGAACTCTGCAAAAAGAATTATTTGTAAATCCATTTTTAAACATTGTTTTTGGAATCTACTTTAGATTGGAAATAAAAGGAGTCCGTTGTAATGGATTAAGATTGGTGTCGGGAACTCCTCATCGCATCTAAATGTATGTTACCGAATAAAGTGATAAACCTTACCTCAATTTTAATGTGTAATGTATAATAATAAAATGATGTAAGGCCATTGCCGTGTTTGAGCGAAAATATTTCCGTGTAAACTTTCTATATAACGACAATTGCCCATTTTCACTTACATGTTAGGTTAGCATCTCTGATGCTTTTATTTATATATTCACTATATTTTTGGTTTGCATCACGTTAGAAGGACCAAAGTCAGACAAAAATGTTCACTCTTCCCTTTTATCCTTCTGGTGGTTGAAGACCTCCACAACTTAGGGGAAGCAGATGAACTACCCGTTCTATTCCATACTTACGAGCATATACAAGTCAAAACAACCACTTTAGCTGAAGCTTCTACATCGGTATGCTTCAGCATACACAAAGAAAAAAGTCAAGATCCTCAAATACAACAGGAGGAACACCAATCTAAAGCTCTGGAAGAGGTTACAACTTTCACACGCCTGGGAAGCATAATCTATGAAAAAAGAGGTTATGATGCAGACGTAAAGAAAGGAAATAGTAAAGCAAGTACAGCATTCTTACAACAGAAAATCATATGAAACTCAAAACGACTGTCAACCAATATAGAAGTCACAGTCTTCAATACGAACATCAAGACAATTCTACTGTACGCAGCTGAAACGTAGAGAACTACAGCAACCGTGAGATAATTAGGAGTAGTTGAATTATAGTGGGAACTAGAAATCCCAGAAGTAACGCAATTTAGCTGAGAAGTACTAAATGGGAACGAATTATGTATCAAGCAGTCATCACATACAAAGGAATCATTGGTTCATACAGACATCATAAACCGTCATCAAAAATATGCAAGTATTAGAAACCAAGTAGGAGCTTCCGAATCTCGACACTGTGTTCATTGGCCGCCCTCTTTTCATTACATCTTGAAGATCACAAGTTAGCGCTTGTCTCTTGATGAAATTTGATTATTTACACAATGAATTTTCCAACCACTCACAACGACGTTTTGCAATTTTTTCTTCAGCTGGAAGCTGGTTTGTTTTCTCCCACAGTAGGCTGCTGCTGATGGTATCCAGTTGAAAAACATTCAGAATCTTACCTGGACAATCGATTAGCAATATTTGCATATTTTCGATAACGGTTGTGGTACTTCTCTACGTTTCAGCTGAGTACTTTAGAACTGTCTTGGTTTTCGTATTGAGGATTGTGACTTTGATATTTGTTGACAGTTGTTTTGAGTTCTATATGTATTTGAAGAAGCCGGATAATATTTTACCTCTCTAACATACTGTTCAAATTGTAAGTTCATGAAAAGCAGCATGGAAAAGGATTGCATTATACCTGAGGTCAGTGTACGACAAATACCCCAACTTTAAATTGCATATTTAACTGGAAACTATCTCCTTACTCTTAATGCCTAACTCAAACCTTTTACCATCATAAGTGTATAGTGACCTACTTTTTCCAAGTGAACACGATTGGTATGATGGAAACAACTATTATTATAACTAATTGTTCCAGTGACTGTTTTACTGTACTTGTTTGTTTAACTGTACTAGAAACATACATTCTTCCGTCGACTGTGAACTTGCACGCTCTCGGTAACGCTCAGTAGTTCCACTTGTACACTTTGTCACGATTTCGGTGTTCTTTCGATACCACGAGATTGCCAACAAATATGCCTTATAAAGACCGTCAATTGTCTTCCGATCTTTGGCCTGTGAAGGGATCTAACACAGTAACTGGCACGTAGATTCAATGTAGTGGTGATCATAGTCAACCACAACTCGACACCACGCTACAACCCTAAAAGTGATGTCAGTTAATGATGAAATTCCTGTAGATTGACAATCTCAACTAAGAATAATGTCTCGATACCCAATATGTAAGCTTGACTTTCTTCCTTTACTACAAATGATAAGTTGGCACGTGAACGTCAAAACTGCTATAACCCTATTATTTTACTTTATTTTATTGTTACTGTTCTGTAACCATTCAGCGTTTCTAGACTGATTGATGAGCCACTACAGATCTTCACTATATTATACTTCAACCGAAAGATTCTCAAATGGATTATATTTGTGGTGGGAAAGATAGGGATGAACTTGTTTCGCCTGTTATTGAATAGAAAGCTCATCACTGATGTGTAGTAGTGACATATATAAGATTTTTGAAATGGCAAACATCGTTAGAACTATGATGTAATACAGACATCTTCGAGTTGTAGAAGAATGATTCCATCATACGAGGATGCCTTATTACTTTATATATATTAATGATACGCTCCATAATGTTGAATACGTTTTTTGAGGTTTACATAATTTCGAGTGTCTTTGTTATATGTGCCACCAAAGAATATACTTATGCAGTATTTACATACCATGAAGACTACAGTTATTGGAGCCTCTGAAGTCTGGTATGTGTGGATGTATTATGACTTCCAATATGATCATAAACAGATGAAAAGTAGAAAGTTTTTGTTTTAGTCCTCCTAGAATCGTAGTCATGTTGGTACTACTGGAATTAACTATGAAGTTGGATGCAGTCTTGAGAAGTGTGGTTAGCCACAGAGTGGATGTGCCGAGTTGGTACCAAAAGTGTGGACAACACACTATTTGCTCGATATGCTTTCTGAAAGGATTCGAAATAGAGACGATGCAATCAGCAAATAGTATTTGAGTGCACGTTCAGCTAGTTGTAGGTCACCTCTTTAGAAATACAGATTTAGATGATCGTATTTGTTTTGGAATAAATTTTCATATCGTTCCTTCGGTGGTAAATGTTAAAGTTGGTGCTCATACTAATATCATTAGAAGTTTGCCTGTATTAATGGTATAATTTCAGTTGATATATCAAACATCGTTTTTTGTTCATAAGTGTACCTTCTGTGAAAGTTCTTACTGCTCACTATCCTCTGACCTAACTAAAACATACAAATGAGTGCTTTACGTCGCAACTCCGATACGAAAGAACGAACATCAGCAGTTTCAATACTTCAACTTCGCTAACATACTGTTATCATAATTTATACTGATTTATTGTGGACCGTATGATTGACTGAGCTGACAACTGTGTTGAATGTCGCTGTTATGAATACACTTATAGTGAAGCTTGTTGAATGCTTGATTTCGAATTCCAAATACAGTACCTTCGTTCGTGCTTATCTAGTACTTCTATATTAAATTTCGTTATTTCTAGGATTCCTAGTTTGTACTAGTGTATAATTCGTGCCTTCTAGTAACCCTCGTACTATTGATAGAAGAAACCAGAGAAGTAGTGAATAGGTCTTTATTTCGATCTTCGCGCAGTCACAGTGGAGTGCGGGATTATCTGTTCAGACAAACAAGGGCTCTCAAGATTCAATATAAGATAATAGGGAATATAACGCTTATAAAAAGTAAGGAAGTGAATGAATACTTGAACAATACTGTTTTGGCATATGCTTGGTTGTTTGGGGTCAACTCTTAACCAACCAACCTGAGCTGTTACATTAGCTTCCCCTAGAATCGACTTCTGTAGGAACGTCGGTTCGATTAACCTATCTATCGAAAACACCTTAGTTCTATTTCTCATCCCAAGGGGAAATTATCAACTCGCTCACTATTTGACTTACAATCAGTTACG